TCTTAAGTTTTCGCGGGTATTTATATGTATGCTATTCAGCTTTGTTCGGGTATTTTCCCACGTCATTATACTTGTGCTTTTAAAGTTGTAGCAACGTTTCGGCAGAATCTCATCTGCCATCATCAGGCTTCTGTATAGTGTTCGTCTAACGAAGCCTGATGATGGCAGATGAGATTCTGCCGAAATGTTGCTACAACTTTAAAAGCACAACTATAATAACGTGGGAAAATACCCGAACAAAGCTGAATACCACACATACATACATACATACATACATACATACATACATATATTCGTAGATTTTCACGGGTACAGGTATGTAGGTCTAGGTGTGTTCGGGTCTTTTCCCGTGTAACATTAAGAGTATCTTGGCGACATTTTGGCGAGGTCCCACTCGCCATCCTCAGGCTGGTGCTTTCGGCTTTGTGCCAATTCAAGCAGTGCTACATGAAGATGTGGCACAACCACGAATGCGAAGCCAAATAGCAGGATCACAGCTCACCAGCTCAAATCCCCCAGCAACTAAGACTAACCTGAGCACAACCAAGCCCCCACCTGAACAGAACACACCCCCAGCCAATCAGAACACAGCCAAGCCCCCACCCAATCAAGTCACACCCCCACTAGCAGTTAAAAGGAAGAAGCAGCTGCAAGCTCACATTACTCTGAGAAGCACAGAACCGAAGACACAAGCCTGAAGATGATGAATGAGACTTCATTGAAACGTTGCCTAGATACTTCCAATTTTACGCGGGAGAAAACCAGAATAACCAAAGATCCACATACAAATGCATGCGAGAACCTCAGAAAGCAAATATAAATATAAATATAAAAATATACACGTTTTCTCAAGTTTTAGCGGGTACTTACATCTATGCCATTCAGCTTTGCTCGGGTATTTTCCCACGTCATTGTAGTTGTGCTTTTAAAGTTGTAGCAATGTTTCGGCAGAATCTCATCTGCCATCATCAGGCTTCTATACAGAATGCCATATATATATACACACACATTTACATTTGAAACAATTCAGAATATTTATCCCATCACTCTCTCCCTCCTTCCCCATCCCTCACACAACTGAATTTTTAAAAAAAATACTTATTACAGATCTTAAAGGAGAAGACACTTGCTTTCTCATTACATTGCAGTAGTAGCTTTAAAATATTGATGGCTGCATATAAAACACATGTCTGAACCATGGGCAACATCTCAATGGGTGATGTATTTAGTTGAGTCTTCAGGACAAGAACTGCAGTGAACAGAACATTGATGCAATCCCTTCACCAAAAGTTTGGAATGTTTTTCTACCTTTTTATTTCCCATCAGGAACTGTGCTGCCTTTTAGTATTTTGCTGTTAAATTTCTGCAGAATGATCTCGGGAAGTTCAAGAAAAAGTGGGTTCTGGGGTGGTGGGTAGATTGCAGGTCTCACCTTGCCCTCTTTTACACTTAGTCCTCAACTTAAGACTGATCACTTAATGGCCATTCAAAGTTATGACAGACTCAAAAACATCTGATTACCATATCATCCCCACAATCGTGTTAACGTTTTTTAAACAAGTTTTATCCAGTTTTCCACATTTTAACATCTCTTTTTAGTGAACAGCAGATTACAGGTTTCACATATACATACAAATATGATCATAATTACATATTCAATTTTTTTATTCAATTTCTTATCTTAACAATGCTATTATACATTTTCTATTTTATTATTCCAAATGCTTATCTCGTTATTTAATTCACATATATTAACTTCATAATTATTATACTTTAGTACTTTTAACTGTCCCATTTGTATATACCTCTTAAATTCTGATTAATAACACTCTTTCTATAAATTAGTTTCCCCTCAAAATATCAGTTTAAGTGCGCCACCTCTAAGTTACATATTCATTAATAATCTCCCCTTTTAAATCCCATTAAATGTTTAACATTTTCTTACTTAAACATTAAAATTAATAATCCCATTTAAAACTACATAACATACATAAATCAGATTCTGCATGGTTTCCCCTTTTTAATTTCATAAGGTTTATTTATAATTTCAGAAAAAAAGGACATATTAATCTATTCATTTAATCCTAAATCCTGATGTTAATTCCATTTCAGCTCTCTTCCTATATCATTTCATTTATTTCAGTATATTTAAAATGTTTCAATATATTTAATAAACATATTCCATTATTTGTTACAATTATCTCCATGCATGAAGGAAAAGAGCATTGAATTCCATTATCAAAAAATATTTTCCATTTTATCAATCTATATGTCCTCATTTCACAACTACAAATGTATTTGTTACCCCCCAACACCTTGCAGAATCCCCTCTCCAAATATCAATCAGCCATTATCTCTGTCTAATTAAACAATTTTCCCATTTTTTAGAATTCCCATATTTCTTTGTTCCAAAGTCCTGTTTCTTGTCCCTTCTTTCCCCTTGTATTTTCCCCTTTATTCTTTCAATCCAGTTTTTATCCCCCTCTCTATTTATAACTCCCTTACGCCCTTCGAATTTCTGCTGATTCTTTTTCCTTTTTTAATTTTCCAGGTATTTCCCTCTTTATTCAATTTCTCAAATCTCCAATATTTATTTCCAACTCTTTTCCTCTTTCTTTCTAGAGTTCTTTGTTCTCAATGGTAATTAAAGATGGCTCCTTCTATAATTTGCTCCACCTCATCTTCTGTCCTTTGTCTTTGTTGTTCATACTCTGCAATCGTATTTTCAATGAATTTTGAAGCAAAGCCCAAAGTTTCACCTCGTTTTGTAATATTTCTTATGTGTTTCTAAGTTCCATTTAATGCCAGAAGAGATATTGCCATTTTACAGCTTTCTAATTAGCAATTTACTCCAAATAGTGTCTTTAAATTTAATTTCCAACAGTCAGTCGGCTTTTAATTTCTTCCTCTCAAATTTTAATCCTCAGCTAATCCAATGCCAAATCCATATCAGAATGAACAATTAATCCAAGGGCAGAATCTTCCTGTTTTTTCTTTGTTTCAATTTTTTAAAGGTTTTGTTGTATTGTATCAATTTTCCTTACAGTTTTAAGAAACAGAGTCTTTTGAAGGAAAAACAAGTTAGATTTAACTCAGATGGCACTCTTTGTTTTGGCAAGTCCACACCCTCTCTTTTCTTTTTTCTTCCCAATTATTCAGAACTTTTAAAACCACAATCTTCCAAAAGGGTCAAAAACCCAATTGATATTAAATTTTCTCTTTAACAATCTATAGTTCAGCTTTATTAGTGCCTATCTAGAATCAAAATATACTTATCCAAATTGATTAAATGATTCCTTCTCCAGCTTCTACCTTTCTTGATTCAAAGCCCCGCCACTGTCAGAAGCAATTCACATCTTTTTTTTCCCTCTTTCTATTCACCACTTTGAGTCCTTTTTTGAAAATTCTTTGAAATGTTAATCCTGGGGGTACCTTCCATTTAATTCTGTTGTCCTGTACCTCCTGCTGTTCGCTTCTTTCTCTCTCTCCTGCACAAACTTATTTCAGTCTAATCTTCCCCTTCAAGGTGGCCACTTTAGACCACTGCTTCAGGCATCTTCGGGAGGGAGCAATTGCCAAGCCAGGGAGGGGATTTGCGACTCTCCTCTACCTGTCTGATGGTTTCCCCTTCCTCCGCCATCCCTGAGTCGGCTTCTGCCCCAAATCTGGTCGATCGGGGCTCTCTGCCAAAGCATGGACCAAAGCCACACAGTCGTGGTCAACAGTCCGTCTTCGGGGAAGCTCAAAACGGGAAGAATCATGTTAACATTTTGAGTGGTTGGCAACTGGCCTGCAGTTGCAGTGATGCACAGTCACATGATTACATTTTGTGACTTTTTGCCATTTTCTGGTAAAAATACTGCTACGGACTTACAACCACACGAAAATAGGAGGAGGAAGGTATGTTGGTCAACTTGAGTTATTTTAAAAATAATGAAGGTGGATATAAATAAATACATAAATAACTGTGTGGCTTGCTTAAAGATCATCATAAAAATGTTCATAACATTGTCGGTTACATGATGACTTGACTTAATTGCTACAATCAGTTAAGAGCAAATTTCCATTTTCAACTGTGGTTGTAAATCAAGGACTACTTGAATTTGATTAGGCTTTAAAGCCCACAAAACTTGTTATGAATACATGAATACAACATATTGTTTTATTTATTTTTTTAAAAATTAATTAATTTATGAAAAGTCATTTATTTATACAGTTTTCCTAATGGTACATAACAATAGTAAAAATATTTATTTGGAATCTATGCCTTAATAATCAGCACTTTCAATTGTCAATTTTAACAAAATTTAAAATTTATTATAAGTAATTTGTCCTCATGATTTTTTTTCTCCCTTTTGTCTCTCCCTAGGTGCATAGATGAATGGTTTGAAGTAAATAGATCTTGTCCTGAGCATCCTTCAGATTAATCACAAATTTGCTGTTTTTAAAGGTAAGAGTTATTACCTCCTTACTCTTTTTAATGTAATGTGGACTAATAAGTGAGTTACTATTACTTCTCTTTTGATTTACAGGTAGTCCTCAACTTACAACTACAAAATTTATGTTGCTAAATGAAACATTTGTTAAGTGAGTTTTGCCCCATTTTATAACCTTTCTTGCCACAATTGTTTTTTTTAACCAAGTTTTTATTTATATATAAGTATTTTGAATACAATGTAATGTCCAGACATTTCATTTTACAAAAGAAAAAAAAACAGATATACTGATAGTAAATAATTATAACCATACTTATAATTATATTAGCTTATTTATGATCACACTTATAAACAACATTCATATTTTACTTACACATAACAATTATCTTTCTTCATCTAATTTCTACCTCTTATCTCTAGCCATTGATAAAATCTTTTCCACATTGAATAGTACTCTGTATCTCATTTATCTTTTATTTTCAATGTCAATCTATCCACCTCTGTACAATCTAATATTTTCCTAATTATATTTTCATCTGGTAGGGTGTTCCCATTTTTCCAATATTGTGCAAATACAATTCTCACTACTGTCAATACATGTAGCATTAAGTATAAAGTCCTTTTATCATAGCTTTCTGGTATTGTACCTAACAAAAATGTTTCTGGCTTTAAATCTATATGCTGCTTTATCATCTTTTCCAGCCATGTGTGTATTTTCTTGCAATATTTTCTTGCTTTTATGCATGTCCACCACATATGATAAATAGGTACCTGGAGTCTGATTACATTTCCAACATTTGGTGGACATGCTAAACATTTTTTAAGTGAATCTGGCTTCCCCATTGACTTTGCTTGTCAGAAGGTCACAAAAGGCGAACACTTGATTCTGGGACACTGCAGTTGTCATAAGTATGAGTCAGTTCCCAAGCATCTGAATTTTGTTCATGTGACTATGTGAATGCTGCAATGTAAGTGTGAAAAATAGTCACTTTTTTCAATGCCATTGCAGCTTAAGTCGATATATTGTATATTGTTCTGTTTGTAATCTGATGTGTATATAAACAATAGGTTACACTGTATTTCATTGTCATGAATTCCTTATACCAGTTGCTTTTTAAAGAATGTCTTACAGTAGAGATGTTATCTGAGGAATATCAATTAGCCTATTTAGAGCTGATTTGTAATCCCTAAGATCTTTTCCATGATTTAATTAATTTTCCTTGTTGCAATCACTGTCATATTGAAAACAAATTTGTCTTTTTAATTTGAAAAGTTATACTCTGAAGAAAGAAAGCAGTATATTTGAAATGAGAAATTCCTATTTTGAATGCCTGCTGCTGTTTCTGATAAAGTATTTATGTTAAAAAAAATTCAATTCAGGTACAGTACAAGTTATTTTAGGTTAGCATCCCTTTTAACTGTAGGCTCTGTAATTACATTGTGTTTCTCCTAGATAGATAATTGGATATATAAGAAGCCACATATGTATCACATGAATGTTTTGATTGCCATGGTTTAAGCCTTAGAATAGAACTGGAGGGAACCTTGGAGGTCTTCTAGTCCAACTCTGTACCATTTCAGACAGGTGGCTGTCCAGTCTTTTCTTAAAAACCTCCAGTGATGAAGCACCTACAACTTCTGAAAGCAAGCTGTTCCATTGATTAATTGTTCTCATTGTTAGGAAGTTTTTCCTTAATTCCAGGTTGCTTCTTTCCTTGATCAGTTACCATCCATTGCTTCTTATCTTGCCTTCTGGTGCTTTGGAAAATAAGTTGACCCCCTCTTCTTTATGGCAGCCCCTCAAATACTGGAATACTGATATCATGTCACCCCAGTCTTTTTCTGTAGGCTGGCTATACCCAATTCCTGCAACTGTTTTCATATGTTTTTGTCTCTTAATCATCATGCTTTTCTTTGCATTTTTTCCAAAGTCTCATCAAACGAGGAGAAAAACACCCTCTTATTTCACTGATATCTTTCACTATTATAGTTTTCATACCCAGTGGCAACAAAAAGCATAGAGTTACAGATGTAAATTATTGATGCTGCTACAAAAAAGAGCTGATTTAGTCTATTGGTTAAGGCACCAGATAGAAACCAAGAACCTTAAGCACAAAAGCCACGTGGGGTGACTTTGAGCCAGTCACTCTCTCAGCCCAAATCATTTCACAGGGTTTTTGTGAGTAAAACAGTAGAAGGGAACATTAGGTATGTATGCCACCTTGACTAATTTATAAAAATAAAAAAGGCAGGAGATGAGAGATAGAGAAATAAGCTTTGAAAGAGTTTTTTACTATTGATATTTAATGAAATATTGTATTGTTACTATTACTACATTGTAATATTAGATAACAGATAATCAGAGTTGGAAGGGACCTTGTAGGTCATCTAGTCCAACACCCCATCCAATCTCTTGAAAGTCTCAAGTAATTATGCTCCCACAACTTCCGAGGGCAAGCTGTTCCATTGGTTGATTGTTCTTACTGTCAGAAAGTTTCTCCTTATTTCCAGGTTAAACCTCTCCTTGTTCAGTTTCCATCCATTATTCCTTGTCTGGCCTTCAGGCACTTTAGAAAGGAGTTTGATCCCCTCCTCTCTGTGGCAGCCGCTCAAATATTGGAAGACTGCTATCATGTCTCCCCTGGTCCTTCTCTTCACTAGACTAGCCATGCCCAATTCCTATAACCTAGTGGAATTCTTGTACTAGTGGTGTATTTTTTTAAAAATGATGGCAGTCCTGACTACTGTAATGTACCACAGATTATCTGTAACCAGTGCCTGTTCTTTGCCTAGTTTTGGTAGAATTACCATATTTTTTGGTCTATAAGATGCTCTGGACCATAAAACACATATTACCTTTAGAGGAACAAAACAAGAAAAAAAATCTACCTCTGCTTCCAAATATCCATCCAGTATTCATCTGGCTAGCATCTTGAAGCAAACAGCAAACTGCCTGGTCAGCTTCAGCATGTTATCACAGCCCCAGCATGTGACTCATCAGGGCTCTGCTCCATTGCACCTACCACCAGTCAGCTGAGCTGAGCTGCTGCCACTTCCAGGGAATGCTGTAGCCTTCACTGCTGATTGCCATCTATCGCCACCCGATTGTTGCGGCCTATTTGCTGCCACCCAGTCTCTGCTGCCCATCGATGTCAAATGGGACATGCCAAATGGGCTGTTGCGAACAGGCCACAGTGAATGGGTAGCGGAGAAAGGGCCACGGCGATCGGTGGTGGCAAACGGGCGGTAATGGCAGTGGTGATCCCCACCGCCTACAACAACTGATCAGTGGTATTCCAGGAGACCGATCCAACCACCAATCAGCTGCTCAGCATTGAAGGCTCCAGCCTTCCCTGGCAGCAGTGTACCAATCCCCGCACCGCACCTCAATATTAGTTCTATAAGACACAGACATTTCCACCCACTTTTGAGGAGGGAGTGGGTCTTATAGCATGAAAAAGTATTTACCCTTAAAAATAGAAATGATAGATATCTAAACATATAGAGCTATATTCGGTCTGTCAGTTTCTTTTACTCAGCCAAAGGTTATGTTTGCAATTAAGACCATAAGTTTTGTGCTGTCCAGCCAGTGCATGGGAATTGGATAGCTTGGTAGCCATTGTGAACTGTTAGCTATATAGTTATCTGCTATTCAGTTAGTATTACTGTCTACTGCTTATCTTAGTTTATAGGTATTTTTTTTCTTCTTTTAATAGTGGAATTTACAATTCCAGGCGGGGAGTGTGCTGTCCAGCCAATGTATGGGAATTGGATAGTTAGGTAGCAGTTGTGAACTGTTTCCTTAAGGGAATGCATCATGGTAAATGTAGTTAAGGTATCCTGGGAAATGTAGTCCATGTCACCTGACCACATCTGTAATCCTAATTGGTCACTAAATTGATCCTCAAAGGGTTGGGGGAGTTTTCCTCACTCTTAGCTGAACTCATGGACTCATGGTAACTGTTCTACGTCTATCGTTACAAGATGGGAGAACAAGGATAGGAGATAAACCATATTTTTACCTACAAGGCAGATATGTAAAGGATTGGTCATTAAAGAAGAACTTCATCACAAATGTGAGTTATGAGGATACCTGATGAACCAATAAATGTACTTTGTTATGGACATTTTGTTGAGTTTATCTACCTGCATCTGTACAGAATACAGAACAAGTTTGACTAATTAAACAAATTTACTTCTCAGGGTTGTAACAACTAAATTACCAGAACTTTCTACACCACCTTGATGCATACATATATCCCAATAAGGTTTCAATATTTATAGTGCAAAAAGCCATAATTAATTCAGAAATAGACATTTCCTATTTTAACCTTCATGCTTAGGAATTTCCTCTCAATGAAGACCAGGTCTGCTCTTCTTGGTTTCAGAAGCATAATTAAGATCTAGTTATTTCATTTAACATTGGAACATGTTTGAGGAAAGGTGGGTTGTCTTTATTTTCTTTATATTAAATGTGGAAATACCTTATATGGATCTTGATTGTTATCTGTCCAGATCAGGCCTTTGGGAATAGACTGTATACAAATAAAGAAGCTGCATTCAAAGATATTAGCCCTATGCTGAAGTGAAAGTAATTATTTCTCATAACTATTAATATTAAAAATTTAAGAGAATTAATCAATTACAATTATGTTAAATACCTGAATATCAGATCCACTGATTGATACTGTTGTGATTTAGAAAATGTATTTTACTCTCAAGAAATATAATTGAATGTTTGTAAATCTTTTGTAGTCTCTTACACTGCTCATCAGAAGTAATAGATGTGAAGTTCCACCATTAGAATTTAATCTGAAAGTGAACTTATGTTCGTTTTGGAGTGGGAAAGAAGAAGATGGAACAAGCATGGGACATGATGCAAAGCAGGATCCTCAGTGTACCAAATGCTCATGTAAAGACAACATAGGGATTTTGAAAATGCTGCACATCCTAGAAAAATTATCTCCCACAAACTATGTAGTTATTTTATTTTTACAAGCCAAAGTTAATTTTCAGGGTTTTTTTCAAATCAGTCTACAGAAACAGAATGTTCTGACATAATTCCTTGAACAGAAGCTGTATGCTCTACATCAGTCTGAACATTATACAAGGAAGATGCCATTTTAAAGTTGGAATCACCTATTCTTTTTTCTCACAGAAAGGAGAAAACTATGAGATACAGAGATCCTTCACCTAATATGCTGTTCACATTTTTATGGAAAAGAATGCAATGTTATTTCTTTTAATCTTTGAAAATTTTGTAAGTAAAGCTGTGTCACAGTTCACCCCAAAGAACAAATGCAACCAAGGCTAATTCTGAATTAATATTCTTGATCCAATTAGAGTTATTGAAATCCATAATCTCTTCTCATTTCTGCATAATAAAATTCATTTTTCTGCTTATAAATATCAGTGCAGCAATTTTGAAAATGCATAATCTAGCAGCTATGCAATTAAAAGAAAACTACTAGGGACATGGCAAATAACATCTTTCAGAATGGTGCCAGTTGAGCTAATTTAACGGGTATTATATTTTTAATTTTTCAGGTAGTTATTTTCTTATGCTATCATTACGAAGCCATCTTTCCTTAAAGGTCAGTAATCACAAAGATAGGCAAGATGAATGTTTAATTGGATAATATCTGGCCTTTTTTAACTTTTGTATTAGAGATTACTATCTCAATGGCTGGTCATAGCAGATTATAGTAATTTGCATCAATGTCAATTGATATAGTAGCTGTATTCTTACACCCAGTCATATGTGCTTCTTGTCTGATAAAAAACATGCCTCATGTTTTCTGGGTTTAGGATTAACAACATTGTCTGTATTCTTGAATCTATAATACTTAGCTACACAATTGTAAAAATGGGATTTCTCTGATAGGGTAGAGAAGAAGCTCATAAAATAAAATTATGAGTTATTAATATATTTAAGGGTGTTTTTGGAAGCAGTTAAAGTACCTTGTAAAGTTTGTGATAACATGAAAAAGTATTTAATGAAGGTGATGGAAACATGAAATTTAAAATAAGAAAAATAAGATGTGTATCAGATTATTTCATTATATTTATGTATTCTGTTCCCCTAAGATCATTCTGCAAACGAATTTCTGCTGACTATTATTGTTATTAACTACTGCTATTACATTGTGCATAATTCATATGCATATGGAAATATTTGGTACATTGTTGTACATTCACAACTGTTAAAATGTTAGTCCAAATATTAAATTAATGAATCATGTCTTTTGCAGTGTACATATGTATTAAATGCTATAGCCAGCAATCTTTACCTTCTTCAGCAGAGGTGGTATTTAGCAGGTCCTGATTAGATCTGGAGAACCGGTAGCGGAAATTTTGAGTAGTTCGGAGAACTGGCAAATACCACTTCTGACTGGCCCCACCTTGATCTATTCTCTGCCTCCTAAATCCCTCTTGGGTCTTCTTTTGTTGTCCTGCACAGGAGAAAGGAGCTGGAAAGTGGGGTGGGGAGGAATGGGATTTTGCAGTAACCTTCTCCCAGGAGTGGGGTGGGAATGGAGATTTTATAGTATCCCTCCCCTGCCACACCCACCAAGCCATGCCATGCCCAGTAAGCCACAGAACCAGTAATAAATTTTTTTGAATCCCACCACTGTTCTTCAGAAAGAAAACAAATATTGTATTTTCCTTCTCAGGTTCAATATTACATAATGGTCAGAAGTTGGTGTTCAGCAAACATGAAATTCCCAAACCATATTTGCTTGCAATGTGCCCCCCCCAAAAAAAAAAAATCCAGGAAGGAGGCATTTAAGGAAAAAAGTCATGAGGGACAAGTCACAAGGACTGGACTCTTTCTATTCACTGGTTTTTCTCTAAATAGTTTATTTCAATTTGTACAAAAAAACAAACAAACCCTAATATGAAAGGTTTTTCTTTTATTCAGAACATGTAAGACAACTTTAATTGAAACATAGTATTGGCTGTGTAGCGTGGAAATGAAAGAACGTTGCAATTATGGGAGTTAATTTGTTTTGTTTTTTAACTAGATCAACTTTTAAGAACCAGGTGCAAAATACTGAGATCAGTCAGAGCCAAGTACAAAGGACTGTAACTGGAAATAAAACAAACTTTGGGATACAAAATGCTTTTGAGAATCAGAATCAAAGATAACTTTTTCAAATAAATATTTTTTCTAATTATCTGATCCCTTCATTTTATTTGTTTCAAATTTTATTTAAAAATTTATTAATTAATATTTTACATTATTAATGTAAAAGATAGAAGTTGATACAAACTACAAAAATACAAAGAAGTACCAAAAAAGGAAGAAGAGGAAGAGGAAAGGAAGGGGGGTGAAAACCAGAAAGGGGAAAAAAGGAAAGAGGAAAAAGGAAGTAACTTCCCCTTTCAACCCAGCAGGTAATTTTTTAAAAAAATATCACCACTATTAAATAAAACATAATTTCTCTGCTCCCATAGCTCATCTCTTAGATGAGGAAAACAAAATTCAAATGCTCCATCAAAAATTTCTGCTCCATTTTCCTTAGTGTCCAGCCTCCAAGCTCTCCTTATTAAAAAAAAAAGCCTCTGATAACAAACCCCCTTTTCTCATGAGAAGGATCTTCTAAATAATTTAAAACTATAATTCCAAATACCTTTGGCCCCTTAATGCATTACTAATTTTCCATATCCATATATTAAGTACACTTTTGGTGCATAAACAACATATTATTTTTAAAACCTTCAAAATCAAATTTATATGTTCTTTTAAGGAAAGGGAAACGTACCTGTTGAATACAGTAGAATCTTACAAGACCAAAGGTCTTAATCTCTTCAATATGCGAAGAATTTTTTTAAAATCCCAAAATGGGATCAAGATGCAAATGTCCATGTCACCATTTTTTCTTTGTGTAACTCTCAAGTTGAGCCTGGTCCCCAAACCAATGCCTTATAAGGGAAGAGTTTCTTCCCCTGTTATTTGAACTGCCACTAGTTTATTGTCATTGCACCTTGTACAATAAAATTAAAGGCCGCCTTCAGTGTACATTATAACTATCAAAATAAAACACAAACACACATCCTTCACATTCTATACAATTTAATTGAAAACCCCTGACATTGCATTAATATTGCACTATACAGTAGAATTCAATAAAGTTACGCTCTGGGATAGAAGCTGTTTTTCAGCCTATTTATCCTTGTTTTTATTATCCTGTACTGTCTGCCAGATGGTAATAGTTAAAAAAAAAAGGGTTCCCAGGATGAGGTTGATTGTTAAGAACGTTTTGAATTTTCTTAAGACAGTGGGAGCTATAAAGCTCCTCCAAAGAAGGGAGAAGGCAAGCAATGAATGATCCTCTGGGCAATGATGTTAACCCTCTGGAGTGCTATCCTATCTGCCACTGTGTAATTGGCAAACAATACACAGGTGCAGTAAGTTACAATACTCTCTATGGTGCAGTGGTAGAAGATCAGCAGCAGTTTTTCATTCAGTTGTTGTTTCCTGAGAAGCCTCAGGTAGTATAATTTTTGCTGGGCACTTTTGACAGTGCTGCAATGTGAGCGCCCAGGTCAGGTCCTCTTTTATGATAACACCCAGAAACTTAAAACTGGCCACTTGCTCCACTTGATCTCCATTGATAAGCAAGGGCTGGATGTCTGATGTATTCCTTTTGTAGTCCACTATAAGATCCTTGGTCTTATTGGTGTTAAGGACCAAGTTATTGTCTTCACTACTTTCTAAAGTCTGGTAGGGGTAGTCTTCCTCAGATATTCTGGGTTTTTAAACAAATCCTACAAAGAAATGTAAAAGTTAAGGGTTTATTTTAGATATACTGCTCTGCTCACTAAACTTAAAATTCAGAAGGCATTATTTTAAATTAATTCACTAATAAAATGAATTTGAGATTACAGGCTTAGGGTAAAACCACGTAAGTTAGAAGATCAGGCTTACTTTAAAGCACAGTTCACTGGGTGAACTATGATAACTGTAGTGATAAACTTCTCTGCGATCAAACTTGCACGAGAAAGTTGTCAGAAGCCACATCTGGCTGAGTTGATGCCAAATTCCAAATGGTAGATATTATGTTTATTGTTTCCTTTTTCCTTTTGTTATCCCTTCTTCACACACTAACCATCTATTCATTAAAACGAAACATGTACGCACATATATTACTGGACTTGAGGACCAGAAAACAAATACCAGCTTTTTTTCCTGCAGCAATGCTTTTTCCAAAAGACAATTGGACTTTCTTAGTTTTTTTCCTTTGAAAACATTTCACTTCTCATCCATGAAGCCTCTTCAGAAGTGAAACTTTTTCAAAAGGGAAAAAAAGTACAATTGCTTTTGGAAAAAGCATCTTTGGGACAACCATGACCTGGATGATTGAGAATCGTCATAGACAGTGCACTGAGGGGTATACTATATAGGTGTTAGAAGCAAAACCATAAGAGGGCAGCACCAACAACATCGTTCCAAAAATGGGTTGTTATTTTCAGTCATTGTTCTCTGGTTGAGATATATACATGAGGTATCCTGCTTTTTTTTCTTGCATTATGATATGGAATACATAGCAGGAGATCGAAATCTTAAATGTAGGCTAGTTAATGCCTTTGTGTTGAAAGTTAAACTACTTCTTCAACTTGGTATATTTCTAGCACATCTGGAGAGCAACACTGATCCTCAATCACTATTCCAAACAATGATAATTGTTCCAGCACACTTGGAGCCATAAAGTTGGAAAAGGTTATTATGAACAAAAGCAAAACAACAGTATTTATTTAGTCCTGGTATGTATATTTGAAAAATTGACAAAACAAAATGCACAACAGAGGTTATTCCCTGAAGTAACATTAATACTGTGCAATAATTGTTTGCAGAAGTTATCACCCCAGTTTTTAAAAAAAGCTATCATAGGTTTTACATTGCTTCAGCATGATTATTTTAAATCTGAAAAGTTGAGGTGATAGAATTTGAATTACTTTATCAACTAAAATATTGATCAGTGGAAACTTAATGAGACATTAATTGGTCAGCGAGTTAGATTTGCTTATTTTTGAAACTCTAGAATGCCCTTGAAAAATAGTTCTATTTAGTTGTGAACTGTTTATTTAATTGTAGAATACCGTGGATTGCCTTCAATTGTCTTCATTATCATAAATGCAATTGAGGTATTAACAAGGCAGAAATTAAGAACATTTTAATTGATTTCATACATTAATTTATATAAAAATGCCAATCAATTGTTAATTTACATTTCAAATTCCAAGTGGTTGGTGGGAGGAGCTGCTGGCTGCTTGTGAGGAGGCAGAGGATGAGTACAAAGGAGAAAGGCAGTTTGAATTGCTTCCATTGCATTTCAAATTCCAAGAGGTTGGTGGGAGGAGCTGCTGGCTGCTTGTGAGGAGGCAGAGGGTGAATACAAAGGAGAAAGATAGCGGCCCACGTGCCATTAGGCACGCAAATCATACAACTATAAACCAAAAATACCAATAATACATTTAGGGTTAGTATGCTTGAGATTGTGATCTTACTTTGTTTAAAAATGACTGGCTTAGTTCAGTGTGATACTTGCTTTACGTCTTTCGCACTACTCTTCAAATTTGGATACTGTCCCCTTTGTAAAAAAATTCTACATGGACAGATTACCT